TTTTTATCTTAATTTTTTATTTTTTTGGCCCTTTTGAGACAGGGTCTCCCTGTAGCCCCAGCTATCCTGGATTTACCATGGAGACCAGGCTGGCTTCGAACTCACAGAGATCCGAGGACTGCTTTTAATGTGTCCCAGAGGTTGTGTTGTGTTGTATTGTCCTTTTCGTTGAATTCTAGGAATTCTTTTATTTCTTTCTTAATTTCTTTTTTGACCCACTCATTGTTTAGGAGTGTGCTGTTCAGTTGCCATAAGTTTGTGTAGTGACTAGGGCTTTGTTCAGTGTTGATTTTGAGCTTATTGCTTTGTGATCTGATAGAATGCAAGGAATTATTTCAACATTTTTGTTATTTGTTGAGTTTGTTTTGTGGCCCAGTAGGTAGTCAGTCTTTGAAAAAGTTCCATGAGGTGCTGAGAAAAAAGTGTATTCTTTGGTGTTTGGGTGGAATAATAGAGAGATGTCTGTTAGGTCCATTTGATGTATGGTATCATTTAATTCAGACATCTCTCTGTTTATTCTTTGTCCAGTTGACCTGTCTAATGGAGACAGTGGTTGAAATCTCCTACTGTTACTGAGTTGGGGTTAATCTGTGTCTTAAAGTCCTATAGTGTTGTTTTTATGAATTTGGGTGCACCAGAATTTGGTGCATATATGTTAAGGACTGTAATATCTTCTTGGTTAACTGTTCCTTTGATCAGAATGAAGTGACCCTCCTTATCTCTTATGATTAGTTTTACTTTGAAGTCTATTTTGTCAGATATTAGAATTGCAACCCCTGATTGTTTCTTAGTGCCATTTGCTTGGAATATTCTTTTCCATCCTTTTACCTTAAGGTAGTGCCTGTCCTTGAAGGTGAGATGTGTTTCTTGCAGACAGCAAAGAGATGAATTTTGTTTCTTAATCATTCTCTTAGCCTGTGTCTTTTGACAGGGGAGTTTAGTCCATTGATATTTAAGATTATTGAAAGATGTGTATTGGTTGCCATCATTTTGATTGCTGTTTGTGTTCTCTGTGTAATTTTGTGTTTCCTAGTGTCTTAGTCTGTTTCTTCATTGCTGTGACAAAATACACTGACCAGTACCAACTTGGGGGAGGAAAGGGTTTATTCAGCTTACAACTCCCAGGTCACAGTTCATCAGGGAGCCCAAGGTAGGGGCTCAGGGCAGGAACCTGGAAGCAGGAGCTGGAGTACAGGCCATGGAGGAATGCTGCTTACTGGCTTGCTCCCCTGGCCCCTGCTCAGCCTGAGACATTTCTTATGCAACACAGGCCCACCTTCCCAGGAGTGACACCACCCACAGTGGTCTGGGCCCTCCCACATCTCTCATCAAGAAGATGCCCTTCAGATATGGCCACAGGCCAGTCCAATAGAGGCAATTCCCCAATTGAGGTGCCCACAACCCAGGTGTGTCAAGTTGACACTAAAGCATCCAGCACACCTAGATTATTATATCTTTGTTTATTTTCTTTTGTTGCCCCTGGGGTATAGCTGTTTCTCTCTCTCTGTCTGTTCTCTGTATTGCTTCAAGTATTCTTTGAAGGGCTGGTTTTGTGGACATGTATTCTTTTAAGCTATTTG